TTTAATTTTTGTAGGTAGTAAATATTGTTCACTGAACTTTTGAAAGTAATTCATTTTCCAGGTCGAAATCGGTCTATTCTCATGTGCTCAAAATTACTATATCTACTACAAAATGAGCAAAGATTTCCAGAAAGCCTTCAGAAAAATAATTGCTTCTATAAAAAAGTGGAAAAAGAAGAAAATACAAACGGTCCAAGTTAAAAAAGCTACCGTTACGAACGCACAAAGCTAGCAATAATAGGTGCTGGTTTGAAAAAATAATTTTTGAAATAAACTTTTTGCCTATCTTGAACTAATCTGCTATGTACAAAAGCGGTTAGAAAAGAAAAATATCATCCTGTCCTTTTTTCCCTGAGCCTCGGCTTTGTTGACCCCTGCCGCCACCAAGTGTCGGCCAGTTGCGAGTATAAAGTCAGTTGACAAATAGACGATAGAAGTCTTCACCTCTAAGCAGGTTCTGGCTGGGCATTTTTCGCCCGAAACCCCTGTACCCCTACCAAATCTGAAGGTCTCAGTGCAAACTAATCATTTTCGCCAATGCCCCGCCCCAAGTGGGCGGAGTATACCCGTGCCATTTACATCTTGCTCTTGTGCTCGTTAACAAATGAGATGAACGACTATGAATATTTATACTGACATTTGTTTATTTATCACAGGCAATAAACACCTTGATGACGTCAGCCTTCTGAGCACGTTTGAAGGCGTTCAGAGTGTCCTCAAGAGTGTAGTGGGCCCTCGTGAGCCCGGATAAATCGATTGTCTGAGAGGCGACAAGGTTGAGGGCGGTAGGATAGCTGAAGACGGTAGAATGATTACTTCGATGATGTGCCACTGACGGATAATTGGAAAGGTTATGGCAGCAGGGAGGAAGGAGTGGTCGAACAAGGAAGCAAAGGAAGACAGGAAGGTGGAACGCATGGGGAGTAAATCTCGAAAACTGAAGAGAGGGAAGCTGAAACCAATAAAGCGAGGGAGAACCCTTGAAAGGACAAGGCAAAATCTATAGAGCAGGGCTACTTGCTGTCTTTTTCAAGTAGTTGATCTTTTTTAGGCATTAGCTGCTCTGTTTCTTGTTTCTATTTTGTTTGTTGTTTTGTTGATTAATTGTTAAAAAAAGAACACTTACCAGTTCACATATCTGAATACTCCTCTGAGGTCGACTTCACGTACAGCAGCCTCCACTACAGGCAATTCGATTCGTGACGCTCCAAGTCCAACCAACACAACGACCCCTCCCGAGCGGGTACACTGAAATATTTTCGTTCCGTTCGATCAAAACTGAAGGGCCTTCTTGTTCCGTACCAGAATTGCTGACTCGATTGATGGCTGTGCCCCAGTGCATTCCAAGGTAACATCCGGCTCAGTTCCCAGAGCACTGATAACCTCTTCTCGGACTTGGGCCGGCGATTTGTTCCTGAAATCGGCTCCTGCTATAGACTACTACTCAGTGAGATTCAGTAACTTACTTGACGCAAATTGCGTGCATGGCTCCCAATTTCTTTGCCAGATCAAGACGTTCTTGTATGAGATCTGTGATGACGACTTCAGCAGCACCCAATGCTTTTGCTGTCATCATGCAGAGCGTACCAATAGGACCTGATGAGAATAAGCCTCCAACGAATAGTCCGTACCGATTTTTGTAGAGTACCTGCTCCTTGAATCAGAACCCGTTGACCCATTTGAACTCCAGATCTTCGACAGGCGTGGACAGCAACTGAGAGTGGTTCCAAGAGAGCTCCTTCTTCGAAGGTCACATTGTCGGGCAGTCTGAAGCGCACAGGTTTTGTAAACAACGGTCCAGAGCAATACAAACAGGAAACATCAAAATAAACAACAGCAAGTCATACTTGTAACAGAAATCCGCATCATGAACAATGTACCGTGCCAAAGATCCATCAATAGGTGGTGTTGCGAAGAATCTCATTTCAGAACAGAGATTGTATCTGCCGGTCTGAATTATACTTTTTCCAGAAACAGACATTTCGACATCACTTCTATGTGAATCNAACGGAAAAATTAATTGAACCACCAAAAACTTGAATACGGCTGATGTACATGCCTTAATGACTATGCCTGATTGATCATCTGTGGTGTGTGCCATTAGGTTAAGGCAGCAATTTCTTGTATGCAACATTTACGCGAAAAAATCATGTGTAATTTATTTTGCACATAAAATTCTACACGATACAGGTAATATTCGCATACTCATTTATACTACCCCAATGATGCGCGCTGGATGAGACGTGCGCGGGTGCGTTGCGGCCTCGTTACCATATCCGTCACCTTACTTGCCTGAATCTTAAGACATTTATTCGAAAGAGTAATTGCTTATTATGCACATCCCTCAAACAAACTCTTTGTCACCCATGCATGCACAAATTGGATCAATCGAGTGACGGGGATTATCTGTGAATGTGATGAATCAATTATGTCGCAAAGCAAGACAACTAGCTAGAAATCGATTTGTGCTGTGGGCAGATAAAGCCACATACAAGAGATCACAGGAGATCTTAGGTCCAGAAAGGTCTGGATTTTTGCTTACAATTTATTTTTTCTTGAATTATGGATAAATCTAGAGGTCAAATGGCATCAAAGGGTTCTGAATTACTAACCTTGCAGTGCATACAATGTCGACATGGAAGTCCCGGTTCTATTGCAACGCGATCACCAACTGTAAATCCTCTCACTTGGCTACCTACACTTGCTACAGTACCACTAGTTTCATGTCCGAGTACCTAAGCAAAGCACATCGAGTAAAACTTCAAAAACCACTTTCGAAGGAGCTCACCATTGGCTCCTTGACAACGAAATTGCCAATGGCTCCGTGGGTCCAATAGTGAACATCTGAGCCGCATATGCCCACCGTATGAACTCTGAATTGTTATGATTTGGGCAAATTTAGAACATATTCACAACAAAATAACCTGTCGTACTAAACTAATACATAGTACGGTCAACAGTAGGATTCACTTAGTGGTTCATTTATTGGTTTGCCGAATACGATAAATATGCAGGAAAGCCCTTCGAAACTGAAACGGCTTCAACCTGCTCTTTTCCCCAAGTCAGACTTTCTTAGTTATATTCAATCAGAGAACTGGATGGCTGAGAGCTTTTTTTCGTAAACAGCCTAATTAATTTTTGAAGTTCACAAATAAAATATCCCTTGGAGGTGCAAACAAACCATGAAATACACTGTGAATATTATCCATGTGTTACGCTTATCGCCTCTTACCTGATCAGCAGTTGATTAGCCGTAGGTGTTGGGATTTCCCTTTGTTCAAGACGAATGTCGTCAACTCCGTGAAGTACTGCGGACAAGTTGTCGCTAACCATTTTCCTTATAGCAAGTTACTCCAAATACTGCAGATAACTCATTCATTACTAACTCATGGAAAAGGACGTCTCCGCTTTAAATATCTCGACAATTAAAAAATATGGTGATCAATATTATTATGTGGTGTTTTCTACAATTAGGAACCGTCCAATGAGATCGGAGAGTCATCGGATCGCTTCGATCAAGTACTGTCTTTACGCATTCTGTTTTTGAAAGAACAATCTCAGGGATTAAACGTAATCCATTTCCTTCCCGAGCAACTGCACGGCCGTATTTCTTAAAGTTTTACATTTCATGAAAAGCTGGCCACGTAAAGCAGTTCTTGTAGTTGACAATTACCGAGTAAGGTACGCTATTTCTATAAAAAAAAAAGGAAATTTTTAAATAAAGCAGCTATCGGAAGCGAAATTGACCGCTCTAAATCAATGGTGGCACGATATGATGGATGGAGCTATGCTATTACGAAGAAAAATAATCGATGCAAACGCTCTGAATTGTTGTTTTTTGATCAACGCGGCCGTATTGAATTACTGGCAAGCCATTTACAAGTAGTAGTAGTTTGCCACGTCTTTTGGCATTGTAGAGGTAAGTTAAGGCTAAGGCATGCTAAATTTATTCGATGGTTTACAAAAAAACTCGATCTCAGTTCAGAAGTGCCTCTTTCCGAACAAGTTATCCAAATCCTCGAAAAATAAAAAAATAAAGAAAATATGCTTGGGCCCCAGATGGGGTTTTAACGATTCACTGTTATCGAACTGATAAACGACCAAGACGGTGGACCAATAAGTCTTACTGAAATCCATTCAAAGCAGTAGGAAAGCTGCTAACTACGACGTCGATGAAACAATAACTCAAATTCTCTGTTACAAGTAAAAAATACCGGTCACGTAAGGCCAATTATCAGATGGAAACGACGATACCACAAAGGAATCAAAGCGGCGATTGATAAAATGAGAACGCATGTGTAATGCCATCGATCAGGGTGCTAGTCGATGACCCCTCCTGCAATCGTCAACTGGTAAGTCAAGGCCCAGAAAAAAATGTAGCTCTACTTGATAAGATAATACACAGAACTGGCAGAGCCTTTGAAAATCCTGAGAAAAAACGAAAGCACTTTCTACTCAGTCAGAGCTGGAGAATTAGAAAGAGACCAACAATCCCTACCTTCTGATGATCAAGATCACTGGACCCAAGTCAGCGGTCGCTGTCGAAGAGACTTCCGAAGTGGTTACTAGTCCTAGACGAAAGACGGAAAGAGGAAGCATCTACGGAGCTGACTTGAGCAGCCCCAAAAATAGAATAATCGAACAGTGAGCCTTTTGTAGTACTGAAAAAAGGCTCCCGTCATCTGAGAGCCAGGACAAGTACCGATCATCGAAAGCTACTATAAAAGGCACCCTGAACAGTTTCAAGATAAGCATTTAAAACTTGAATGACTAAAGGTAAATCGAAGGAATCATTAAAAAACAAAAAAATGCATCCTCGAACTCCCGAATGATTTTGAAGGATGTACAAGAAGAATCTTCACCGTATACCACGTCATTTGGAAGTTGAAAGCAATCGCTAGCTCATTTTGCGTCTTCGTTACGCCCCTTTTAGGCCATGTTTCACCATACGCCGTGTTTCTTGCAAGCTATGCAGCTTTTCGACGACGTAAACGTTTCCTTCAACAACATCAGCCTTTTCAGAACATCTCTGGCCAGTCATATCTCGACAAGTTAGGGAGTAGTGGCTAGCCTTTCCCTCAGCGCCGCCCATGACAGCGAAGCATGGGAGAAACCCAAAGTTAATAGTAGTCTGCAAGGGTACGGCTTCTCATATTCTTTGGATACTGGGTGTAAGCAGATGTGGAAAACAAGTTGAGCTCCTTCTGGTACAAAAGCGTTCGTATATGTCATTGAAAATTTATTGAAGCTCAATAATGCAAAAGGAACCATATAAGACCCCACAGAGAGGTATGCACGTGATTGGACAAGGCGAAAATAATCAAACTACACTTATAATACTTGTCAGTCAGTGCTGTATAGCATCGGCGAATCCGAGCCGTTGAAGGCTAGTGTCAAAATATGTACAGCGCCCACGTAGGAACGGAATGCCCAATTCGATGTTTTGACCCATGTCGAAGCCACTCGCATCTGTCGGCATCACCGCCAACGTACAGGTGCCATCGTTATTGCTCAGAATCAGATTTCTTTCAGTCACCGGCAAGTATCCAAAACTACCACCAACATCGAATCCTAGCGAGAGTTTCACGTTGCAATCCACCTGTAACAAGTCGATGGAATGGTGCTACTAGACGATAAACAGAGCTGACATAGCACCGTGGCGACATAACGGAATACGAAAGGACGTTACCTTTGCAGGAAGCGGAGTTTCGTAGTTCACATTGACGGAAGACAAAATTTGCATGAATAAAGCGGATGGAACTTTGATGTAGGGGGATGAAGACATGATCGTGGTCTGGAAGTAGTTATTGTAACCGCTTCTGAATCAGTGAGTTTCTAATTCATTTATTTGCTTATTTATTTGTTTATTTATTCAGTTACTACCTGGAAAGGGAATGAAATCTGGACTCGTGAGTTACACGCAATATTTCTCAAAGTCTAGTTTATTTTGTTTGAAATCTTATGGAAGTGCCGATATAAATGCCCACTTGTACGCGCATAACATACATACTCGATACCCCTTCTTTGCTTATCTAACACCGCACTGACCGAGCTGTCCATACATTATTTGCATATACTTCCTTAATAACTCAGATCCAACCACTCTTCTGCTAAACTTCTGTCGACTATTCGGCCTTGAAGCCCTTTAGCATTTTCCCGCAACCCTGTTTCCAACGCTTCGAAGCCCAAAATAAAAAGTCGAAAATGAGGTTTGGGTAAACAGACTGCGATAACACGAAAAACACGGATATCATGTGCGCATACAAAAGTGCAGGGTCTTTTTATGGCCTTTTATAAAAAGTTCCGAAACATCCCACAACGAAACTTGAATTCCCGTGAAAGTTTTGAGTTACTGAAATGAGTTCCCTGAGACCTTAAAGCAAAATGTCCTCTCTTCATACCCTCGATTATATGATGTCTAAAGCTTCATTCAGTGAACACTATGAAATTAATTGTATTGAAACTGGTCGAAGTAAATGACTTACCTGGATTCTCTTAGCTGCTCCCAAACCATTTATGTAAAAATTTGACAGTGTGAATTGGTAAAGGCCGGCAGCTGACAGGTGTACGGATCCACGGTCAGGACGACAGTGGACGAGATCATAGCCTGAAAAAGCGCTTAAAGATTAGAATGTGGCAAATAGTTGACAACCGAGATTATTTCGTTTTTATCAGATTCCCGAGAGCTAAGCTGACACTATCAGACCGATTAAGCGTTCTCTGTCCGAGGCCTTATCTACAGGCTTATCCTTGTCATATCAAAAATTTGTAAGCTTCTACTCTTTGGACTATTTTACGGAAAAGCCTCTCAGCGAGAAACATTCAAGAATCCAATTATCTAACAATATTTGAGTAATATTCAAATAAAAACATAGCAGTAGATTTCCGTGATCAACTTATTAACTTACCTCCATAGTAAATGACACCATGAGTACCATTATCCGATGTCTGCCATTGCTCTTCTAACCAAATAGAGAAAACCGATTGAGCAATATCACCTAGAAAACGATCTCCCAGTTTATGGGTTTTTCAGTGTAAAATACTTTCCCGTGACTTTGAATTTTTGAATTCACCTTGTGCAACTCCTCTGATGAATGGAGGTATCGTGTTGTCGTTGGCAATGGACTGGAAAGCCAAGCCGAGTACTCCATCAACACCTTTCAAAGCCGAGACGGCAGCCGGCATCTCGTTGACCTGCCCCATTACGGTAGAGGGAATGACGATCGCATTTGCATCGTTGGTGGCGAGCTGGATTCAAAATACATCAGATCAATCGAATTATCTTCCTGAGAGTGTCCATTCCGTAAGATCCTCCGGTTACGCCGAAGTGGTTGCTTGTCATAAAAGAACGTGATATTTTGCTGTACGACGAAGAATTCTGACTAAAATGATTGCATTAGCAGCTGACCATTTTGCAAAATTTTGATAGTTGATGTGACTTCTGAACTCCACACTGGCAAGCCGTTCCCTATACAGTTTTACACTGAACATTACCTGCCGAAAAGCCTTTTGTTACGGCATGTTGTACAGGAACTGTCAGGAATCCAAAAATCTGCTGATCCAGTATCGACGATCACTGTGAACAACTGCGGCGGCGTCCCCACAGTGATGTTCGTGACGAAATAGCTCTGAGTATTTTGTTCGAGCTGAAAAAAACCCGATTTCTGGGAGTTATCTTGTGAAAAGTCTGAACAACTTACAACAGCTCCTCCTGCAGTGACATTGGACACAGCGGCTAGTTTGATTGGAATGACAAAGGTCGAAACGGTGCTGTATGCCAAGAGGGCGGTGGCTGCCAGTACAGCTCTCATTGTTGAGCTTCTCAGTCAAGAAGACGAGTTCTCCTCCCTTATATAGAGGCAGATGACATTATATTATCACCCCGTAGAAAAGGAATCGTTATCGGTTGAAATGCACCAGCTCACAGGCCTGATTAGGTGCAGCCGATCCAGTGACGTGTGTATACGGCGTTGTAGAGGTGAGTTCAGGCATACTGAATTCATTCGATGATTCACAAAGAAACCCGATTTCGCTTCAAAAGTGTTTTCTTTTCGAACAACTTATCTAATACTCCACTAATCATTGAAAAAATGAAAAAAAAGTCCAAAGAAAAATGCTTACGTTCCAGATGGGATTTTAAATACTGATTGTTATCGCACTGATCAGCGGCCAAGATGGAGAACCAAAAAGTCTTAGTGGAAGCCATTTCAAGTAGAAGGAAAACTGCTAATTACGACTTCTATGAAACAACAACTCAAATTCATCGTTGTTAGTAAAAAAAAGTCCGATCATGTGGAAGCCAGTTATCAGATAGAAGCGACGATACCACGGAGGAATCAAAGCGGCGATTGATAAAACGAGAACGCATGTTTAATTCCATCGATCAGGGTGCTAGTCGATGACCCTCCTGCAGTCGTCAATTGGTAATTCAATGCCCAGAAAAAAAGGCAGCTCTACTTGATAAGATAATACACAGAACTGGGGCCTTTGAAAATCCTGTGAAAAAACGAAAGCCCTTGCTACTCAGTCAGAGCTGGAGAATTGGGGAGAGACCAACAATCCCTACCTCTTCTGATGATCAAGATCACTGGACCCGAGTCAGCGGTGATTACTGAAAAAGGGCTCCCGTCATTTGAGAGCCAGGACAAGTACCAATCATCAAAGGGAACTACTGAACACCCTGAACAGTTCCAATAAGCATTTAAAACTTGAATGGTGAAGGGTAAACAGAACGAATCAACAAAAACTCAAAAAATGCATCCTCGAATTTTCGAATGATTTTGAGAGATGTACGAGAAGAATCTTCACCGTATATCACGTCATATGGAAGATGAAAGCACTCGCTAGCTCATTTTGCGTCTTCGCCACGCCCCTTTTGGGCAACATTTCACCATACACCGCGCTGCTTGCCCGTCACGCAGCTTTTTTACGACTTACCCGTTTTCTTTAAACAGCATCAGCCTTTTTCGACCAACTCTGACCAGCGAAATATTGATACATTAAAAGGTGTCATCGTAAGGAAAAGCCATTCCGTTAGCGCGCCGCTCACGAGAGGAATGAAACCTATGAATAATATGACGTGGCTTTTCCCTTTCGGTTCGATTCTCAGAGTGAGTAGAGATGGAAAACGAATTGAGCTTCTTCTGTTACAGAAGTATATGTTTATGTCATTGAAAATTTATTGAAGCTCAATAATAGAAAGGCACCATATAAGACCTCTTAGAGAGGTATGTACCTCAATGAATAAGGCGAATGTAATCAAACTCTACACTTTTCCTACTAAAATTACTTGTCAGTCAGTGCTGTATAGCATCGGCGAATCCGATCCGTTGAAGGCTAGTGTCAAAATATGTACAGCGCCCACGTAGGAACGGGATGCCCAATTGGATGTTTTTACCCATGTCGAAGCCATCCGCATCGGTCGGCATCACCGCCAACGTACAGGTGCCGTCGTTGTTCTTCAGAATCAGATTTCTTTCAGTCACCAGCAAGAATCCATTACTACCACCAACATCGAACCCTAGCGTCAGATACACGCTGCAGTTCACCTGGAATGAGTCGATGGGATGGTGCTCCTCGACCATAAACAGTACTGACACAGCATAGTGGAGACATAAGAAAATATAAAAGGACATTACCTTTGCAGGAAGCGGAGTTTTGGGGTCCACATTGATGGAAGACAAAATTTGCATGAATAAAGAGGGTGGAACTTTGATGTAAGGGGATGAAGATATGATCGTGGTCTGAAAGTAGTTATTATAACCATCTAATTACTCGTTTATTTATTTATTCACTCGATGCCCGTAAAGACATGCCCCTACAGCCCTCCAGTTACATTAGTTTGAATGAACGCAAGAATCAGATGTCACCTGGATCAACGAGTTTCTAATTTATTTATTTGTTTACTTATTTGGTTATTAACTGCACATGCAAGGAGATTGAAATCCAAACTAGTATATCACACACAATGTCTAGGTCAAAAACCAGAAGAAAGTTCTCAGTCAAAACAGTAATTATTGAAAGCACAGACAAGGCAATTATCCTTTACTGCTCAGCCAGAAGGCCTTCAATGAGGCTATTTATTTGTTTACTTATTTGGTTATTAACTGCACATGCAAAGAGATTGAAATCTAAACTAGTATATCACACACAATGTTTAGGTCAAAAACCAGAAGAAAGTTCTCAGCCAAAACAGTAATTATTGAAAGCACAGACAAGGCAATTATCCTTTACTGCTCAGCCAGAAGGCCTTCAATGAGGCTAGCCACCTACAAAGGCGTTTTCAAACTGCGTTGCGCCTATTATGCGAAATAAAGCCACTTTTGGAGAATCACA